AAATAGATCTGTCTTGCAGAGGGTGAAACAAAGTTTCTCCTTGGAGGCTAAAATTCTGAAGCTCTGTCTCACATACTCTGGGCACATGAGGAAGAGAGATCAGTCCTTGGAGAAGGACATCATGCTCAGAAGGGTAGATAGACAGCACAAGAGAGGAAGACCCCGGATGAGATGGATTGATTCAATAACTGGGGCAGGGTGGGTTGATGTGTCAGCATTAGTGACATTGGCTAAGGATAGGGAAGAGTTCAGAGCTGCAGTACATAGGGTCACTATGGGTTGCAGACCACTCTACAACACATAACAACAACATGTATATATGTTTACATCTTTGTTTTTATTTTTCAATGGAATCATTGGTATTATTTTCAGTGTGCTTTTGGTTCACTGAGTAATATGATTAAGGGTTTTTGTGAACATAAATCATTCTTTTAATGTAAGCATTAGACTCTAGCAAACAGATTAATCATCATTTATCTAACTGGTCTCTTTTGGGTGGCCATTGTGTTGGTGTTACCTTCTTTACTTTAGTAAACTTCATGCTAAGTATTATTCTTACATATATTTTCCTGTGCCACTTTGCAAGTATTTTACTGGACCATATAATTGGAATTGAGATTGGTAAATCGATTGTATGTATTCCAAGTTTCATATTTCATGATGTTTTGTGAGTGATTTAAATTAGAATAGGCTTTGTTGCTTAACATCACACACTGGGCCTAACACATAAGTCAGTCCTCAATAAATAAAATGAATGAAAAGATAAACGAAATCAGGCCTTAGTAATTCTGTTCACAATCCAGCTAAGAAAAATCTGTAGCCTTGGAGTAAGTACAACTCATGGCGACCCTATGGGTGTCCGAGTGGAATTGTTCTCCACAGGGTTTTCAAATGGGTGTTTCTTTGAAAACAGAGAACTAAGTGTCTCTTACAGGATGATTCTAGGCAGATGAGCATTTCCAATATTTAGATTAGCCGCCAGAAACATTTGAACCATAGTGCACCACGCCAGGACTCCTAATCTACCTAGTAACTGGTGAGAAATTTTATTCAAGATTATAATTGGTTGACCCACTCACAGTCGACCAATCCTAGCATCTAAAACTATTCACTGGTAATTTTGGGTCCTTCAGGGGACGAGCCTTCAGCTCCTTCACCGCCACTAATGGGAATGAATAGAAGTAAAATTTTTTCTCTGCTTTCGACACAGTTTATTTTCGAATTGTGATTGTGCCCATGGGCGGGTTGGAGGGAAAAGGGACGACCGAAAAATCGTCACTTGAGGGAAAAAGGAGAGAAGAAAACACTGGAGTCAATTCTGGAAGGTAGGAAAGGGAAAACAACGCTATAGTTCAGGGAAGGGTAGATAGGTGGGGGGACCTGAGTCTGATATACAGGAAAGATCGGGTCCTTGGAGGAGGGGGGAGCGGGCTGGTGGGGAGGCATTGCCACTCTAGGCTTTAGCCTGCTTCATGGGGAGAAGAATGGGTGAAGGTGGAAGAATATCAAGTGACAGCTGAAGAAACTCAACTCTGGCCAGAGCAGCGCGCCAGGGAGGGCAGAAAACTGCCTTCTTGATCAGTCAGGAGGCATTTGGGGGGAAAAAATGTATTGTTTTTGTATTTAATGTAATTTTTAACGAATCAGTTAGATGCTCTGATCAATTAGATACCTGAACCAGAAAAGGAAGTGTCCAAGACAGAAGATGGGACAACGGTGTGTTATAGAAACATTTGACCTAGATTAGTACTGTGGTGTCACATTCTCTGAGTTGATTTCTGCTCCTCTGTACCCTTAGGCCTTCGGATCCTGTATCTCCTGGGTGACTCAGTCTTTGGTGCCTATGGAGTCAGCTGCTTTACCGAACTACTTCCTGCCAGATTCCCTTCTTTTCTTCCCCTTCCTCAGCTTATTCACACTGGTTTCAGGTAGGGGGTTATGCCATTTGTTCTTAGACTTTTCTAAAAGAAGAAAATCAGTCTTTAGAGAAGAATAACAGAGTAGGAGTACGCAACTGTGTTCATTCATTCTTTCTTTGACTTGCTGACCAAGTTCACTCGAGAGCTATCCAACAGAAACAGAGGTCCCTTTGAATCCATCAGATGCTCTGCTGGAGAAGGAGGGACAATCTCCTCCTGTATCAGTCACATCCAATTTGACGGTACACACACAAATAATAAAAGAACGATAATAAAAAGAAACAGTGGTCCTTCCTACACGTGAAATAGAACATTTTTTTCTGAAACTTTTTTTTCTCTGTTTGGTTTAGTTTATTTTGGGTGAAAGTTTACAAATCTCATTGCGTTTTCCCCTCTCAATCATTCATAGGCAATAATTACCAATAATTGATGCAAAATCAACTTCTTACAATGTCAAAGCGAGTCCTTAGTGTATATTGCTATTTCCTTCACGTATCTTCTCTATATATCTTTTTTCTTTTAATTTAAGTTGAAAACAAATTTATATTTAAGTGAAGCAAATAACATTCATTTATATGGGAGAAATTTTTGAAAGTACTGTGACACCCAAAATCATAAGGGGGGGGGAAATCCCAACAACTTAAAATAATACTAATATAGAGTGTTTACAGATATTGTTGAAATTTGTGGCAACTTGATGCAGATATGCTGAGTGTAGTGCTTGGGGAAGAAGCGTGGCCTGCCACTGTAATGGCTCTCTGAAAAGCAATCATTGAAGACTGGTTTGAATTTTTTTTTCCCCATAAAAATGTTTCTCATTCTGAGAACAGGTAGTAATGTAGATAAAAGTGAAGTAGCTTTAAAAGAACGTTCAAAAAGCCATGAGATAACTGACTAGTGAAAGCTAAAAATACAAGCCACATAAGTGTTTTTAATTGATGCCTTTGAAATTGTATTATATTGGTAAAGTATATTGAATACACCGTGGGCTGCCAAAAGAACAAACAACTCTGTTTTGGAAGAAGCGTAGTCAGGGTGCACCTTCGCAGTGGGAGGAGTGAGACTTTGTTTTAAACTTTGGGCATGTCTCTAGGAAGGGCCACTCCCTGGAGGACATCATATTTGGAAAGGTGGTCAGCGAAGGAAAGGATGAGTTGATGCAAGATACATTCAGCAAAATAGATTGACACGGTGACTGCACAGTGGATTTGAGCACAACGAAGATTACAAGGAGGGTACAGGATCAGGCAGAGATTCATTCTGTCACATATAGGATCTGCCAGTCAGAGTCGAGTTTATGGGACCTAACAATACTTGCTACATTAAAATGAGTCCCAGGTTGGTGTAAATAGTTAACTTAGTTGGTTGCTAACAAAGTTGGAGACTGGAGTCTACTCAGAGGTGTCCAGGAAGAAAGGCTGAAGATTTGGTTCCAAAATACCAGTAATTTTTTTCTATTTCACTGGTACAGGAGGAGATTGTTCCTCCTTCCCTGGCAGAGCATCTGGTGGATTCGAACCGTGCACTTCTGGGGATTGTAGTTGCAGCTCCTTGCCACTAGGCCACCAGAGGTCCCCTAGTAATTGAAAATCTTAAGCAATGCAATTCTTCTATTCGGACACACATGGGGTCGCCATGAGTAGAACAGACATCCTAGCAAATGATCAACTGGTATGCCCCTAACTATGAATAAAAACAATTAAATAGCATATTTTATTTTACAAAAGAAAGACTATGTTAAAAATATTATTTAAACATTTAATTAATATGAAAATAACTGATGGGATATGTAAAATTTTTCTTAAAATATCTTAAAAAAATTTTTTTGTAATCACTTATGCCAAAAGAAAACAAAAACCAAAACCACTGATAAATCCCTTAGCTATCCTCCACCGAATTTCCTAAGGTGAAAGAAGACTGGTCATCTTTCTTCCATGTAACAGTGAATTTCTAGTGTTGACCTTTCAGTCACCAAAACAGATAAAGCATTCACACCTAGGTGCCTTTGTCCTTCCCTCCGTTGCCTTGGAAGGCTGTACATTTTAAACAGAAAACCCTAGCACTTTTTCGCGGGGTGGTGTATGTTCTATGGACCAATGAAGAATAGCAGCCCCTAAAATATCTTGTATTCCCACACCGGGAGTCGAACCCGGGCCGCCTGGGTGAAAACCAGGAATCCTAACCGCTAGACCATGTGGGAAGCACATGCTTGCTGAGGCTGGCGAGTGACTTTGATATTACAAAAGCTCAAATTTGTAATGCATTCTGGGCATGGTACTCGGCTGGATAATTGAAAAACAATGTTTAAAGGGATGTTCAGTGAGTGCTCTTCTATGTCTCATTCACAAAGCACTCACAGCCTCTGTATCATACACTTTCCTAGAGTGGTGCCAACCAGTCACAGCATGGCCCTTAAGAGTCCTTAACTTATTAAGTCTCTGCAATTCTTAGCAAGAATTCCTCTGTCCCTTGAAATGTTTCTTTTGCTGTCTTCGATATTTAATGGCCGGTTCCCCTTCCTAATTTCTATCTTTGTTGAATAGCCCAGTTTACTGTTGTGGGACCGACTGATCCAATTCTGGTTATGGTGGGAGAAAACACCACATTACACTGCCACCTGTCACCAGAGAAAAACGCTGAGGACATGGAGGTGCGCTGGTTCCGGTCTCAGTTCTCCCAGGCCGTGTTCCTGTATAAGGGCGGGAGAGAGAAAACGGAAGAGCAGATGGAGGCGTACAAAGGAAGAACGACCTTCGTGAGTGATGATATCGGGAAGGGGAGAGTGGCACTGATAATTCACAACGTCACAGCCCATGAAAACGGCATCTACCACTGCTACTTCCAGGAAGGCAGGTCGTACGATCAGGCCACCATGCGCCTGATGGTGGCAGGTACGTCACTTCATTTTGCTTCATAGCTTTTTCACAGTATAGCTGTTGGGGAGAAAGGTTTATCTTCCAAACCTGTTACAGCCTAGCAGATTTGTTTGTTTCAAATCCCCTTTTAAAAAGATGGTTTATTTCTGCCCAAATGGCTTTCTAAACTGTGAGCGTCACTTCTTCAGAAGCACATACGAGGAGCGCCGTGATCACCCTCACGGGGAATGTTTATTTCCTACAGATCAGTGTAATTATGTCCGCAAATAAAACACTGCCTTCTTCCTTTTTTTCAATCACATAACTTTGCCTCTTCTTACTAAAGAGTAGCTGGGTGGTGCAAATGGCTAAGGCCCAACTACCACATGAAAGGTTGATGGTTCATAGCCACTCAGTTCTCGCAATCTACTTACCAAGAAGTCATTGCCTTGAAAACTCTGGAGCAAATCTGCTCTGCACACATAAGAACCTCGTACAAAGAAAGCAGTTTAATAGCCCAGGCACTATTAAAGTTCCCAACTAAGAACACACTATTTATGCTCAAATTTTATGGGCTAAATCCAGAATCATGGTTAAGTTTGACTGTACTGAATAATGAAGTGTAATCCTACTATGTACTCAGATGAATTTTGAATAGACTCTTGACTCCTCACAGAAGGCTGCACAGTTGGCCAGTGTTGAGCTGTGTGTGACAGTGATCCTCTGTTTTGCAGTAAACATGACCTTAACTTGGCTCGTTCTAAACTGGGCAGTTGTGGAATATTTTTGTTTTGTTTGCTTGTGTATTGTTTGCTGTTGTTTATTTAGTGAACTGGATGATTTTGTGTCTATCCCATGATGACCCAACTTGAATTCCATTTAATGCTTTGCAGATGCACTCTTCCTCTCCCTTAAGTTTGTCAATTTTGAGTTTTATTCTACTTTAAGTTTTTAAAATGAACCTTTAAATGTACAACGAAGGGTTTTTGTTTTGTTTTCCTATTGAGTAAAAGTAAAATTGGACAGAAAAAGTTAACTTTATGCCACTGCTTTAATTTCCTGTCTATGGTGTAATTTATCAGGGCAGATTTAAAAACAGCACTTACTCCCTTCCAAATGCATTAGGCAGTTGGTTCAAAACAACTAGCTGCTCCAAGAGGAAGGATGAGCTATATCCTCAGCTATGGGTTGGTTCCTACTTGACAGCAAACAACAACATCCAGTATTATCTTTTATTGAAGGTTCTTTTAAAGAAAGATTGTAGTTAGGAAGAATGAATTCTTACCACTATTGATGATGGAGTTTTATTGCCAGGAATTGAGGAAGTGATACTGATATTATTGTCTTAAAGACTTTAAAGTATCTGTATCTTTACAATAGGTAGATATTGTTGAGGGACTATAAGAAAACAATTAACTTGTTGGAGTCCCCCAAAGATAAACTTGTCTAAACTACACCAGGAGTTATCTTTGCTGAGTAGCTCTGTTCATGTTCCTAAGAAGCAATATAGTTTTTTTACGGGTAATGGAGTGCTTTGGTGATATGAAGTCCTGAACTCAGAGAAGGAACCGCTTCTTCATGCCACAGAGTTTCTTATGATATTGCAAACCAGAAAAGTTTCTGTTATTACTATATTATTCTAAAGCTTCAAGGAGAAAAGTTTGCTGAGAAATTGTCCTTGAAAGCTTTCATTTATGGAGCTACTGGGTGAATTTGAACCACCACCAACTTTTGCATTGGTAATCAAGTTCAAACCATTTGTACCACACAGACATCTTTTTTTCCCCTTTGAAGATCTCATGATTTTTGTGTTGTTTGTTTGTTTGTTTGTTTTACATAATAGACTTTGGGGATTCTCTGACTTAGCAGTCTCCTTGCTTCCTTTCTCCTCTCTGTATTTCTTCCTTCCTTCCTCCCTCCCTCCCTCTCTCCCTTCCTTCCTTCCTTCCTTCTTTCCTTCCTCACAGAAGGATTACTGCAGGGTTATGCACAAAAAGCATATTCCATTTCTATGGATGCTGTCCAATTGCTCTTTTCCTCTTTCCCTTGGCTTTCAGCTGGCCCTCTAGGACATATTGACTAAGACTCCACTGCGGTTTTAAACTGAGTCCTTGTTTCTTTCTCCAGGCCTGGGCTCTATGCCCCTCATTGAAATGAAAGGCTATGAAGATGGTGGCATCCTGCTAGAATGCACGTCTTCTGGGTGGTTCCCACAGCCCTATGTGGTGTGGAAGGACCCCGTTGGTGAAGTCATGCCCACCCTGGAGGAGTCTTATACTGTTGAAGATGATGGCCTCTTCACAGTCACCACGTCTGTGATCATCAGAAACAGCTCTGTGAGGAATGTGTCCTGCTCTGCTACCAACACCCTGCTCACCCAGGAGAAGGAAACTATGATATTCATTCCAGGTCAGTTCTCTGGTCTCTGAACACTCATCATGTGGGGCTAGAAACTACAGCAGATAGATGAAAGCTCTGATTGGTGATGAAGGAGTGGGGTTGGGAATGCATCAGAGTTGAAGGCTCTTGCCTTGTCTCAGGGGGAAACATTCTCAAAACTCCTCAGAGTAAATCTAACAATGTTTAATTTGTTATGGTGATGCAGCTTTTTATCTTGCAGCAGTTTCCAAGCACTGTGAATAGTTATAAAAAGTGAAGAGTGGGTAGGTGGATCCTTTGATGTAGGATACTGCCTGCTGAAGTATTCCCTTCCTGCTCACAATTTTTCCCAAGGGACTTAGCTAGAGAAGTTCCCTATTGACATATATTTATAATCCAAGAAACAAATGCTTAGCACGTGTGTCCCATGTTCGAGGAAATATTCTAGAAACCAAAGACAAATCAATGAACAAAATATATGACATTTGCCGCATTTAGAGAGCTCACATTCTAGATGGGACATAGAGGAGTAAGAGAAAGAATTTAGAAAGATAGTTATTATATCATTATATATTATATAATAATATGTATTGAGTTAGATATTATTATATTATATATAATGATTGTGGTTGTTGTGCACCATTGAGTCAGAACTGACCCATAGCTGATTCTCTAGCAGGTTTTCAGAGGCAGTTAACCGCATGGAAGGAGATTGCCCAGCTTTTTCCTGCGGAGCAGCTGGAACATTCAAACCATTCAGGATTACAGTGCAGCTTCTTGTCACTAGGCTACCAGCCCTCCTTTACATATAATTATAAATGATGCATAATATAATAATTCTATATTGTTGTTGTTATGCACCATCCAGTACTTACTAACCTGCCAATGGATTTTCAGAAGCAGTTAATCACATAGGAGATTGCCTCTCCTTGTCCCATGGAGCAGCTGGAGGATTTGAACTGTGTGCCTTCAGGATTGCAAAACAGATTCTTACCATTAGGCCACCAGAGCTCCCATTTCTGCATAAAATATAATTATATATTATAGTATAGTATAGTATGTATAACAATAATATATATTATATAATTGTATGCTATATAATAAATTGCTCACTCACTTATTCCTATAGAGTTGGCATTGAATCCTAGTTGACTCTTCATTGGGCTACGGACGCTGATGGATTTGAACTGCTGAAGAGGCAACATTTTTTTTTTTTTTAAGAGGCAACATTTTGGATTAGCAGTCTGTGTTAGGCCACCAGAATTTCCTCATGGTGATAAATAGCTCTCAAATTCTCAAAGCTGAGTTGAAACCAACTCATAGCTGACTTGCCAGTGAAATTTTGGCAATGGTGAATTGCACAGGAAGAAATGACCCATCTTTCTCCTGGTGTGGTCTACCTGCTAGTGGATTTAAACCACCATAGAGTTGCGACTTTTGAGTTAGCAGTACAATTCCCTATAGACTAGACCACCAGTGCTCCTCTAATTTCCAAAAGGCGGCCATGAATAAGACCAGGAAGAAAGATGAGAGAAACATAAATTTAGCTTTATGGGGGAAATAGTCCATATATTGGAGAATTTAAAAAAAAAAAAAGAAAGAAATGAAAGGGTAGGGAGTGTGAGGGTCATTGTAATTATAAATAATGTCATAGAGAGATAAGCAAACACTAGATTTAAGTGGAGAGACAAACAAGTATTTGAGGAATAACTGCTCAGGTAGAGGGAATAGCATATGTGGGGCCTGGGGAAGGAATGTGTCTGGCATTGTCAAGGAACCTCAGGAGGCTGGTGTGACTTGCCTAGTGTTAAGTGGAAAATCAAGAGGAGGGGATGAATTCAGAGACATTACAGAGAACATGGGCTGTGTAGACCAGTTTGTAGAACAGTGATGACGTACATGTTACTATGATGTTAAAGACTGTGCCACAGGTATTCAACACACATTGTGGACAAGTTTCAGCAGAGATTCCAGCCTAAGGAAAAGTGGGAAGAAAGGCTTGGTGATCTATGCCTGAAAATTTGCCAATTAAAAACATATAGATTACAAAGAACATTATCTAATGTAATGCTAGAAGATGACTCCTCTAACTTGGGAAACATTCAAAATAAGCAATGGCTGCAAACAATGAGCGTGAACATGCTGACAACCATGAAGATGGTGTAGGGCCAAGCAAACATCTCATTCTATTGTACATACTGGTCATATATTGGAGCCAACCCAAGGGCAACCAGCAACCACCACCACAGCCCACAAATAGACTTTGACTTTTACTCTGATTGAAACAGGAATTTGTTAGAGGTTTTGTGCAAAGAAATAACATAGTCTCAGACTGCTGTGCTGAGGATAGACTGTAGAGTGTAAAGACAGATGTGAAGAGAGGAGCATTCCAGGCAGGAAGTGATGGTTTGAACCAGATTTGAACCAGGATGGTGGCCATAGGGATTCAGCATGGCTGGTTGACTTTTACTCCCTATTGTCTTTCCTGTGGTGATTCTAAGTGCTTCTGCTTTCCTACTTCTTTGATCCTCACCAGCACCTTTTGTAAGGGTCAGCCTTTGCAGAGCAAGAGTCTTTATCAGGAATTTCTGAGAAAGAAGTTAGTGGGGAAGGGACTTGAGAGAGTTCTTCAGATGTGGGTCCAAAGAGGCCTCTCACCCTGTGCCTCCTATTTCTTCTCGAATGAGACTTCTCGATGGCTCCCTTTCAGCACCCATAATTCCCAGTGCCTCTAACTGGCTGGTGATCCTGGCTGCCACCTTGCCCACGCTGATTCTTCTTGTTCTCATCACTGGAGGCATCTGTCTTATCAGTCTAATCAAGAAACTTCACAAGAAAGAGATTCTGTCAGTGGAAAAAGAGGATGAACAGGAAGAAAAAGAAATTATAGGTAAGGAATTGGTAAATAATGTGTCAGAAAGAAAGAGATACTTACTTGAAAGGCAAAAGAGGAAGAGGGCAACGAGTGTTAAAACCAAAGACCTGAGAACAGAGAGAGGAAAGGAAGAGACCCCCCGAGATGTTTCAAATGCTCACGTCCTTGTGATTTTTCTCTTAGGGCTTCCATTATGCAAACATTGCATTCATTAATTTACTTGGCTGTGTGTATATATATATATATATACAGTATATAACTGTATATATATATACACAGTATATAACTGTGTATATATATACACAGTATATAACTGTATATCATCGAATAAAACAAGACTAAAAAATGTATAGCTGGTATCCAGCCACCAGATCATATAGTTTTTTCTAGTTGTTTGACAATTTCTTAGTTACGGAGGATGGAGCTGTTCATACAATGGGCCATTCTTCCATTATTTAAGACAAACTCCAATTCTCTTGGTTCTTCCATTGAGGGCATTAATATGTGTTTGTTTCTTTTTCAGAAGAACTTCAAGAAGAATTACGTAAGTTTAGCATTTCCTGAGCTCTTTTCTGCACAGCCAGTCTTCTGCCTGGTTAGGTATTATCTTAGGGTACTCATTTCTATGTCTGTCTTGTTGCAGGGTGGAGAAGAACCCTCTTACATGCTGGTGAGCACCTCTCACATTCCCTCAGATCCTGAGGTTTCTCCCTACTCTAACCAGCCAACAAGACACATTAGAAGAGATGAACAAGGGGGCCCAAGGCTGGCTGGGAGGCAGTAGGGGGCTGAGGGTGGTTCACTACAGTGTCTTCTCCAACACTGTGTCCCAGTGTTTTTGTCAGGAAATTTCAGGAGCTCTTAATCTTCCCTTTAGCTTACTTCACATGATCCTTTCTTTCTTTTTTTTTTAAGAATAATTTAATCCATAATTATCAGAGGTCTACCATATATAGTAAACCTCTCTAAGAATTGTTGCCCTTGGCCTCTGGGAATAATTTGAAAGGAGATTAATATTTGTTTACTATTTAGAACCTGGAAGATGGTGTGGTCTGTGTATAGTTAAAGAGCAACTTGGGAGACAGATGTAACTTTTCTAAGACTGTCTCTAGAGTATTCAAAAAAGCTGGCTGGAAATGCCATCTAGTTCCCAAGGGAACAGTGATTCTCTATATTGACAGAGGGAAGGCAGCAGGGTTAGGCAAGAATCCAGAAGGTCCTCAGCTTCCTTCTTTTGTGTATTTATAGTATACTCTTCACAATCTATGATTTCCCACATGCTTCCCATAAGCACAAAAGAAATCAGACTTTATCAGATACCATAAAATTTAGGTCTTACTCCTTACATCTAGATGAGATTCAAAATTGTAGTGATCAGAGCTACAAACTCAGAGGGAGGAAGAAAGGAATTATTTTTATTTCTTTAAAATGTGTTTTTGTTTTGGATCCCCCCCCTTTGTAGGGAAGAAAAATTTTTAATAAGATTACTAGGTTATAAATCATGTAGATGGAAAAGATCTAAAGAACATCAGCTATCTAAAAAGCATTTCCTAAACTGAAGAAAAAATTCAAACCTCCAGTTGCTATAATCAAGGATGCTTTAGGGAGAATATTAAATGATCCAGGAAGTATTAAAAGAAGACAGAAAGAATATACTGAGTCACTGTTGCGAAAAGAATTGGCAGACATAGAAGAATTAAATGAAACAACATATGAGCAAGAGCCTATGGTGATGAAGGAAGAAGTTTAAGCTGCTTTGAAGAAAATACAAAAAATAAGCCCCCAGGAATACATGGTCTACCAATTGACATATTTCAGTTAACAGATGTTGCCCTGGATATGCTCACCAAGTTGTGCCAAGAAATCTGGAGAACAACCACCTGACCAACTGACTGGAAGAGATCTATATTTGTTCCCATCCCAAAGAAGGGTGACCCAAGAGAGTGTGGAAACTATAGAACAATATCATTAGTTTCACATGTAAGCAAAATTCTACTGAAGATTATAAAAAAACAACTGGAACAACACATCAGGAGAGAACTGCCAGAAGTCCAGGCTGGGTTTAGAAGGGGTCATGGTACTAGGGATATTGTAGCTAATGTTAGTTAGATGGATCTTAGAATACCAGAGGAATGTATATCTGTGTTTCATTGACTATGCAAAGGCATTTGACTGTGTGGATCATAACAAACTGCGGCTGATTCTGAGAAGAATGGGAATCTCAGAATTGATCATGCTAATGAGAAACCTATACTTGGACCAAGAGGCAGTCGTCAGAACAGAGCAAGGAAACACTGCATGGTTCAAAATTGGGAAGGGCGTTTGCCAGGGATGTGTCCTCTCTCCATACCTTTTCAACCTGTATGCAGAACAGATTATCCGGGAGGCTGGGCTTTATGAGGAGAAATGTGGGGTCAAGTTTGGTGGAAGATCAATCAGCAATCTGCAATATGCAGATGACACAACCCTGCTTGCTAAAACTGAGGAGGATCTGAAGGACTTACTGCAGAAGGTCAAGGACTGCAGCCTCCAATATGGTTTGAGGCTCAATGTCAAGAAGACAAAGATTCTCACCATGGGGCCACTTGGCAGCATCAGGCTGGATGGTGAAGAGATTGAGATTGTTCACAGCTTCAGTTTGTCTCCACAGTCAACACTCTCGGCACCAGCAGCCAGGAAATTAGAAGATGTATTGCCATGGGAATATCTGCTGTTAGGGACCTCTCCAAAGTACTGAAGAGCAATGGTGCCTCTTTGGAGACTATGGTGCATTTGTTACAGGCCATGGTCTTTGCAATCACTTGTTATGCATCAAAGAGTTAGACAATGTCTAAAGAGGATAGAAGGAGAATTGATGCCTTTGAGCTTTAGTGCTGGAGAAGAGTATTGAGGGTACCATGACTGCTAGGAAAACAAACAGATTCATCCTGGAAAGGGTCAAACCAGGCTGCTCCTTGGAGGCAAGGATTCTAAGGCTCCGTCTAACATACTTTGGACATGTTGCAAGGAAGGATCGGTCCTTGGAGAAGGACATCATGCTTGGTAGGGTAGAGGGACAGCGCAGAAGGGGAAGGCCCCCTATGAGGTGGATTGATTCAGTGATTGGGACAATAGGGATGGGTGTATCAGAGACGGTGCGATTGGCACAGGATAGAGCCGAATTTAGGGATGTTGTACATAGTGTCGCTATGAGTCGCAAGCGACTCGACGGCACATAACAACAACAACAAACTCAAAGGAGCCACAGACTCTTATTGCTGAAGCAAACTCAGATGTACATATCCACCCACCCACCCTATGCACACACAAATAGTGATTTTACCACATACACATCAGGTAACTAGTTGATTTTTTGAGAACATCTATCTGCCTTCTTTACCCTTTGAAGGGTGCCCTTGTCAATCACGGAAATAATGTGTCGTTTGGCTAAGCAATGCTGGAGCATAAAGTAGCAGCAAAGGAACTTAACTTGTCCCTCAACCGCTCAGGACTCTGTCTTGATAAATTCATCTCCATTGTGCTGAGTGGTGATGTAGTGTATGTAGCTTCTGCAGAGCGAGAAATGAGGCTTAATTGTTTCAGGAAATGCATATAGCCTCCCTCCTATAAAGTTATTAGGATAGTATGTGGCAGAGAAAAGGGGACAAACCTGAGAAAGTAGAAACCATTCATTTCAGCTCATTTGCTGACATTTCTAGATGTCTGGGTTCCTGTCATTCCAGGGATAGAAGTGCAGCCTGAGAAATTCAGACCCTGTGAGATGCCTCGAATCAGAGGCCTTTCGAGGTAGAAAAGGCAGCCACATTATGGATTCTAGGAACTATCTGGGATCCTGTGTAGCCCTGGAATCATGCAGTCTCCAGGAACCTCGATCCCCACACTAAATCTGAGACTTCCTCTGCAGCTGATGTGGTTCTGGACCCGGATACCGCGCACCCAGAGCTCTTCCTGTCCCAGGACCGGAGAAGCGTGATACGGGGCCCCTCCCGGCAGAGTGTCCCTGACCGCCCCGAGAGGTTTGACTGCCGGCCTTGTGTCCTGGGCAGGGAAGGCTTCGACTCAGGGAAGCATTACTGGGAGGTGGAAATGGAAAATGTGATGGTGTGGGCAGTGGGAGTGTGTAGAGACAGCGTTGAACGGAAAGGGGAGGCTCTGTTGGTTCCCCAGAACGGCTTCTGGGCCCTGGAGATGTTTGGAAACCAGTACCGGGCCCTTTCCTCCCCTGACACCATCATCCCGCTGAAGGAGCGCCTTCGTCGAGTGGGCGTTTTCCTGGACTACGAAGCTGGCGATGTTTCCTTCTTCAACATGAGGGACAGATCGCACATCTACACCTATCCCAGGTTGACCTTTGTTGGTCCCCTGAAACCTTTCTTTAGGCTAGGGTCTGATGACAGCCCCCTTGTCATCTGCCCAGCATTCACAGGGGCCCAGGGGGTCGCAGTGCCTGAGGGTGGTCTGATCCTGCACAGGGCAGGGGCCCACCGCCGCCACCAGGACATATTCCTTGGCCTCCGAGCCATGTAGACATTCATTCCCGGGCCATTTCCGGTATCGCAGCACGGCGCCCCCTGGTGGAAAAAGCTTTGTTCCCCTAGAGTCACATAGGACAACCTCCTTCAGCTGTCCTTGGATGTCCAGGTCAGGTCCCAAACCTCCTCCTTATTAAGCTGTTGCTTTAGTAACTAATTTACTGGTAATCATGGAGTGAGGGGCCAGTCTCAGGGAAGCTAATACTGGGACAGGATTCTCAGCACAGAAGGCAAAAACTTGCTGTTTTAAAATCAGGATAACATATTCAGCATGATATTGTAGGTTTAAGATGAGCAAGCTGAATTCATCAAACAAAGGAGGAAGGACCTCCCGAGGAGGAATGGGAAAGCACAAATGGAGGTCAAAGATAGAAGTGGCAGAGTTGAGAAGGACCAAGATTGTGAGGCGGTTAAAACTACACCATGACAAGTACAGGGTCTCTGTAATAATTCATTTCCCCCTTGCCCCTCCCCAAGATTTCTAAATCATACACTAAAACTTCTGAGGTCTGGAACTTGGAAGAAGAAGGAAGACACATCTGGTTCCAACCTGACTCCAGTGTCCCTGGAACGACACTTTTACTAAATTGTCAGTCTTCAACTTTTGGAGGTGGCTTGAGGTTGAAAATTCCAGCTAAGAAGCTGAGTATGGAATCATATTGATCATAAGGTTTAAGTGAGGAAAACAGCATTTTGAGTTTAAAATGATAAATTAAAAATGGATGATTACAAAAGCTTTCATTTATTTGGATTCTGTCAATTTGACTCAGAGATTGAAATGAGAACATTCTGTTTTTTCCCCTTCTAAAATCATGGTTTGAGTGAATGTTTACAAAGTAAATGGATTTCCCCCCCCAAAGCATATTTTGTTCTGTAACATCAATTACAGTACACACAATAGCTGATTGTTCATTAGTTCCATTTTCTTCTTAAACCATTCTAATGTTTGTTATCTATCAGTTAGTTTTCTATTCTTCACCCTTTCTCTTCCTTGATAACCATGCTAGACTGATTCTCGATATGTCAATCTTTCTCTAGCTTTTTTATAATAGTCATATACAGTATTTATCCTTTTGTGACTTATTTTATTCAACATAATGTCCTCCCGACTAATTTATTAATTTATATAGAAATAGCAGTATTATACTAACTTTACAGGTTAGTTTAAATAACATACTTTAATAGTGATATTGCATCTAAAAATACATTTTTATGAGAAATGTGTACTTACTACTTCTTTGAATGTTTTTGCAAATTTGGTATCTGAATATGTGACTTACAATGGCTAGGCTCACTTACCTGCTCCTATACTCAATCTTGTGTGATAGCACAGATTAGGCAGACTCTAGGAATGGTCACTGTAAGAGTGAGAACGAATGATAAAAATATCTTAGTATGGTTGTTGTTGGTATGCACCTTTAAGTAGGACTCTTTAGCAGGTTTTCAGAGGCATAAATTGCACGGAGGAGACCACCCATCTTTCTCCTGCAGAGCAGTTGGTAGATTTTAACCTCATGCCTTCAGATTGACAGCATGGATTCTTGAATTGGTAGTTGGAGACAATAATTTAACTTCGTGGATTGAGTATTGAAGAGAGAGGTTTGAGTTCTTTGGCTGGGTTCTGCTGATACTGGTCAAAAATTTTGTGTTTGTTTGATTTGTCTTTTATGCAATTTTCCACGTAATCTTTCAACTGTTATATATTTAATTTATCTTCTAGGGTTCTTATATTTGGAGAACTAGGATAGAGGATCCTGGAATTAAGTCAGGCTTATGTAATCATAACTTAAGTAATAATTTATGGATTTCAGTTACTTCAATGATCCAACTTTAAAATTGAATTGTTGTTGTTATGTGCCATCGAGTCACTTGCAACTCATAGCAAACATATGTACAAGGGCTCTAAATGCTGTTCTATCCTCTGCTAACCTAGCCATCTCAAACACACTTATTCCCATCACTCCAGTTACAGAATCGATCCATCTCATTGAAGGTCTTCCTCTCCTTTGCCACCCCTCCACTCTGCCAAATATGATGTCCCTCTCCACGGACCAGTCCCTCCTTGCAACATGCCCAAAGTATGTCAGATGAAGCTTCAGAATTCTTGACTCCAAGGAGCATTCTGGCTTCACCTTCTCCAGGACAAACCTGTTTGTTCTCCTAGCAGTCCATGGTATATTCAACACTCTTCTCCAGCACCAAAGCTCAAAGGCATCAATTCTCTTCCTATCAACCCTATTTACTGTCCAACTCTCTGATGCATAGCACGTAATTGTGAAGACTATAGCCTGGATCTGGTGCACCTTAGTCTCCAGCCTGACATCATTGCTCTTCAGTACTCTTGAGAGGTCCCTCACAGCTGACTTTCCCAATGCAATTCGTCTCTTGATTTCCTCGCTGCTGTTACCAAGAGTGTTGATTGTGGAGCCAAGCAAACTCAAAAACTTTTAACTATCTCAATCTCTTCACCATCCCTACTGATGCTGCCAATTGGCCCAGTGGTGAGAATCTTTGTTTTCTTGATATTGAGCTTCAATCCATATAGGAGGCTGCAGTTCTTGACCTTCTGCAGCAAGCGCTTCAGGTCCTCCTCATTTTAAATTCTGAATTTTGTCACTGTAGTTACAAATGGACACAATGCAAAATTAGTCAGAAATATATGAAAATAATTGATTTGTTATCAATTGGTGGCAGACTATCAATTGGTGATTTAGATGACAGACTAAGTTATTGGTATGGATGTATGTTGTTTTAATTTTTGTTATTGCTGCTAATGCTATTACTTGTACTTGTGCAGTTTCATTTTAACTAAAAACACTAGACAGAGAGGAAGTAATTCCTGGTACTAGGAATAGCTAATGTCAGATGGATCTTGGCAGAAAGCAGAGAATACCAGAAGAATGTCTGTGCTTCATTGACTGGAGACTAAGGTGCGCCTGATAAGGGCTATATAGTCTTCGCAACTCTTACTCATCAGATATAGCATAAGTTTTACTCATCAAACATAGCACAAGTTTTACTCATCAGATACAGTGCAACGTCAATCAGATCTGATACAAGCCGGCATCAATCAAAGTGCTAAAAAGAATGAAGAGTGGAGAGCTTCTGCTTCCGATCCTACAAAAAGAAGACTGGAAAGGTTCAGCTTTCATTCCTATAGGTTCCTGTTTAAAGTAAAGAAACCAACACAGGCACAACTTGTGCAATAAATTACAGAAAACAACACAGGCACAACTTGTGCAATAGATACAGATTTGGAGTAGGCGATTCATCTCCACCCACTCACCCAGATCTGAGTGGGCAGCTTGCGCTAACACACTCACATGGATCTCAGTAGGCAGCTCACGCTAACCTACTCAACCAGATTGGAGTGGACGGCTTGTGTCAACCCACTCCCAGGTGACTGGTTACAGGCACACACGTGCATTCCCCAGGGCTGGCCAAAACAGAATTTTTTTACTAAGCACGCAGTTACCAGATAAAGTGCGTGGATTCGTGAAGGCAATGGGGGATGCCAAGAGTTGATTTCTCAAAGGTCTCTTGAGACAAAAGATCTCAGTGCTGGGCCTTTGGATGTCTGAGAAACCTGCTCTCGGGGTCCTCCTATCCGCAAGATTCAGAATGCCCTAGCAAGCAAAAACAAAAAGTTTTTACTTACCAGGTGAGTCTGAGGGTCCCTTTGTGGTCACCAAGAATGTTAGAGAACACAAGGGGTTCTTTCCATAGTTTTTCAGTGCAGTGTAGTATTCCATTGTGTGAATATACCACAGCTTCTCTATCCATTCTTTTGTTGATGGGTACTTAGGTTGTTTCCAACTCCTTGCTATTGTGAACAAAGCCGCAATAAACATGGGTGTGCATAAATCTACTTGGATGGCGGTTTCTGTCACCGACCACCCGACCACGGTCGTGACAAGAAACTCGAGGGGTTTCTTGGTGAAGAGCAGGTGAGGGACGAAGTCGGCGAAAATGAGAGTCTGCACACCAGGATGATGTAGAGAGCTCTAGTTTATTATGCTAAAAGCCTGCTTTTTATACATTTAAACTTGTTAAACTTGACTTATAGCCAACATTTTATGATT